CATGAGGAAAAGTCTGAGAACTCCAATGAACAACAGCCTTGACCAGCAAGAGGTGCTGTTGTGAGGGGCACTTGGCAGGTTTAGTCCATAGAGCTTACCACTGTTGATCTCAGGGTTGCAAGTTTGAGCCCCATGTTGGGTGTGAAGCCTAGTTAAAACAAACAAACCAACAAACTAAACAAAGGTGTTGTTGTACATTATGGAAGGGAAGGCAGGTCTTCTCAGCATGTTTGCCAGAAAACACTGTTAGCAAGGTAATCTTCAGAATTGGGAGGAAATGAAAATATGTGTTTATCTGCTGGGAGCTGGTGTATGAAGTGGGTGGTGACTGTGTGTCTCTCTCCTATAGTTGTGTCAGCACAAGAAACCCCAGAGTTAGGAAGAGGGAGAGATGCTCTCTGCTGGGAGGAAGCAGAAGGGGTTTGCTGTCCTTGATTGACCTCTTTACTGTGTTGGTCCCAGTCCCCACTAGCCCATTGGGGTGCAGCGCCCTCCTGTGGATGGCATGGTTCTTCCTAACTTTCTCCAGGGCCTGCTTCCCTTCTGGTATCTCTCAGTGTTCTTTGTGATTCTATGTAGTAACTACATAGGGAGGGAGTGGTCTGTGGCTCCTGCCTGTTCTTAAGATCAGAGCTCAGGAGAGAGGTGAGCAGACTTCATAGAAGCGGAACCACCAACTCCCTACTTATTGTCTCTGCTTCAGGCTTAGGACTCCTGTTTCTTTCTTACTGTCATTCTCAAGGGCTGTGTTTTCCTGACTTCAGGGACAGAAGCTCAAGATAGCTAAGACAGAGTTCTCTGGGAAGGAGAATATAACTAGAAGAATATGGTGATGAGACCCTCGTGGGGTCAGCATGAAAATTCTGGATTCATGAGGAGATTTTAAAGAGTGATTCTGGGGTGCCTGGGTGGCTCAGTGGTTCAAGCCTCTGCCTTTGGCTCAGGTCATGATCTCAGGGTCCTGGGATCGAGCCCTCAGGGTCCTGGGATCGAGCCCCGTGTCGGGCTTCCTGCTCAGTGGGGAGTCTGCTTTCCTCTCTCTGTCTGCCTCTCTGCCTACTTGTGATCTCCCTCTGTCAAATAAATAAATAAAATCTTTTAAAAAATAAATAAAGAGTGATTCTCTGAAGTTACATACAAAACAGTGAAACTGCAGCAGGAGGGATAGATATTAACCTTTAAGGGCACTCCTTTACATACTTAAGGGAAATGCTACCGTGGGAGACACCGCCTTTCTAGAGAGATTTGGGGACTAACAGGAAAGTGAGAATCATTTCTGACTAGAGGTCAGGGGTGTGGTCAGGGTAAATGGTGCCCAGAGCAATTAGGTTGTTTGCACCCTCTCTCCTCGCCCACATTACAATTTTCCCCAAATTGGATAACTATATAGTAAAAGTAGAATGCATTTTGTATTTGACATTCAATATATCTAAAGATAGTAACGAAATTGAAATAAAAAGGAAATCATCAACAACTGGCCTCTTTAAGCATCCCTGCAGACTGGGGTCTAAGGGTGTCAACCTGTCTACACCCCTTTTGTTTCACCTTTGCTAGTGGCCATAGGCCCCTCCCTGAGGTCCAGGGGCAGGGAATATGAGGGTGTCTGGCCAGTTGGCACATTCCCACTCACACATACCAACCCACTCCAATTCTGGCAACTGTTCTTTGTACTCTATCACCCAAAGTCAGGAGCCAGAGCACTGTTTCCTATGAGGGAGGCAAGACACTGGAAAACTGTCCTTCAGGGGAGGGGTGAAATGGGCAAACTGTCTCACAAGTTAGCCTGGAATTCTGTGGTTTTGTTCCTGGATGCCTCTTGTTCATAGGTGCTGGTCTTTGGCTGACCTCCCATCCTGCCCCAGGATACTCACTAACCTCTATTCTCTTTGATGCTGTGCCTCAACTCTTCTCAACTGCAAAAACCCAAGCCTCGGCTTGTATACAAAAGAAGGTGGGGGAGCTCCAAAGGGTTACTTCAGAGAACCATTTATTGGTGCAAGAATGGAAAGCTGGCTCTAGGTGAGAGAGCAGTTGGAGGTCTCATTCTTCTGTTTTTTTTTTTTTTTTCTATTTAAATATGTAAAATATACATGTGTGGGGGTGCAGAATAAGGGATGGGGAAAGGACCCAGGGGTTCAGGAGACTTGAAAACTGTTCCACATAAATTCTCTCGTGACTATTCCAACTAGCTTCTTCTCTTACCCTTTTTCCTAACCGGCATCTTTCCTCAAATTTTTTTTTCAACTTTAATGATTCTAAATGTTTTCAGTTATAACCTATTTCTTAAGGCTGAATGAGTTAAGGTTCGCTCATGACTCTGGTTTCCAGTTGTCTTGGCCCGACTACTTCAGCTCTCCCTCCAGTCCGTGGTTCTCATGCCCATTTTCATTCCATCCTTCTCACTGCAGACTCACTTGACGTCACATTCATCTGCTCCCTTATAGCCCTCTCAGACTCCTGGCTGGGGATTCAGAGCTTTGGAAAATGCTCTGATTGGTCCTTTTTTTATTTGATCCTGATTTTAAAAAATTTTATTTATGTATTTGAAAGAGAGAGACAGAGGGAAAGCATGAGCAGGGGGGAGGGGTAGAGGGAGAGAGAGAAGCAGACTCCCCACCGAGCAGGGAGCCCCACCCCAGGACCCTGAGATCATGACCCGAGCCAAAGACAGACGCTTAACCAACTGAGCCACCCAGGCGCCCTGATCCTGAGGTTCTAAGGAGCCATTCTCTAGCTTTATTCCCGCTCTTGCAACGATACGGTTTGAAATGAAGATGGTTCCTGTTGGGGTTGGTAAGTTGTTGGGAGAGGAAAGGAAGTGCTCATGAAGGAGAGAAAGCACTGATGGCTGAAAGCAGAGGTGGCTGAAGGTAAATGTAAGGGCTCCCGGGATGGGAGGAGGCAAAAAGTGCATGACTCACTTGTGCTTGAAATCTCCCACCCTCTGCTCATTTCCCTCTGATGCTGATAGCATAGGTGACCCAGAAACATCTGAAGAGCCCCAGAGTCTGATGTCCTTCTCCTCAAGTCTCCTTTCTGTAGCCCTATAAATCCTCTGTCCCTGAAATAGCTAATGACCGTATAATTGTATCCCTTCCACTTCACCCCCGCCAAACTCCTGGGGAGACCACTGCGGTGGACGGCAGCAGGGATTGGATGGCATACGGGATCTGCCCGTCCAGATTTCTTGATGTGCCTCATGAGGGTGGCCTATCTTCCACGGACCATCAGATGTTTTTGTCCTTTGGCTTCAGTTAGCATGACCAAGAGGAGATGCTGGCAGCAGATGACAGAGAGGAAGAGGAGGGTCATCCTCTGGCTTCCTCCTGGTCAAGTCCCTGTGGGCTGGGTGTACCTCACCACCAAAGGCCGCAGGGCTTACTGGATGGGCCCCTCTAGTTTCTGCTCCCCGTTCCCTCCTCTTCAGCCTGGGCAGCAGCATTGTTCAGGCTCAGCCTCAGACACAGCATTGTTGCTGCTCAGCTCTTGGCTATTGCACCACCGTCTGTCCAAACCTGTCCTGTTTGGGCTCTGTCCAAACCCTGCCCACACCTCCCTACAGTCTCCCTTTATGCAACTTGCCTCAGTTCTCCAATGTGCTCTCGCTTCCTCTGAGCCCCTGACACATAAGATCAGGAGGTAAAGGTAAGGTAAAGGAGGAGAGAATCTGGATATTTGAGCTTTTCTTAAAATCAGAGAAACACAGGTTGGAAGCCCAGCTAGCTATGCGATCTAGTTATTTACCTTTTCTGCATGTGCTTCCCTCCACTTGCGATGGGGATAAGATCTACCTGGTGGGGTCACGAAGGCAGGATAGTGTCTATGAGGGCGATAGTACAGCACCTGGCACACAGCAGGTGCTCCGTGTGGAGACTCTGCTGTGATTATTACATGCGAGGCACTGTCTGGAGAATGAAATCCATTACTTCATGCTGAAGAGAAAACAGAATGGGATGGTGCTTCGGCGAACTTGTTTCCTGTATCAGATATTTGTAGTTAGTTTTGCCTCAAGTTTGCCTTCTCACTCATGCCTGGGTGCGTTGGCTGGGCTTGTGAGAAGGTATGCGTATCTTAGTTTGTGGGGAGGGCAATTGATGGACAGGAGGCAACTGTGACAAGGACACTCAGGAGACTTTGTCCACGTGAAGATGACTTGGGCTTCCGCACTGAGAGTATCAGAAGGGGCAAAGTGGGGAGAGCGACTGAGCTCATGGGGTGCATCTTCTCTCCCCTCCTTCTCCATGAAGTGTGAGATATTCCTCCATTTCATGGGTCAGGGCACTGGGCAACAGCAGATAATCAGCTTTGTATTTGTCCTTCATAGTTTTTAAGAGAAGCAACACATTGTAGGGGTTCCTCACACTGAAAGATGGCCTAGTGGGGAGGGGCTGGAGGCAGAGCGGCAGGTAGAGCAGGCAGCAGGAAAGCCACTAAGTTGTGGCAAAACCTGGTAATCACCCTAGGTATTTATCTGGTGCCTTTCTCCCTCTCCAAACACACTGCTTCTTAATCCCTCAGCACAAGGCAGCTGGATGGAGACAGAGGCTTAAAGAAGAGCCACAGCATCCTTGAGGCTACGCAGGGCTCAGTGTGAAAAATAGGAACCAGATGGAAGGAGGCTCTGTTTAGCCTGATCTCGAGAGTCTGCTGGACACACTGTGGCTGGCCAATAATAGCTATTGGGAGTGGAGTGGGTGTGGTTAGCATAGGAAAAAATCTAGATCTCGTGGTTTCTGTTTTTACACCTCTTCTCTCTAAATGCTGGGAACTCCAGCTCAGTTTCTCAACACCTGTGGGCAAGGCAGGAGTAGGTTGCTGGAATTTCAGCAATGCTCCCATGTGTGGAGGGCATGGCCTGCAACTGGAAGAATGGCTAGGGGGCTGGATTCCAGAAGAAAATACAATATCCAACAGTCAGCTTTTCCATTCCCCACTCCATCACTTCCTGTACCAGGCAGCTCCTAGGCTACCTGGAGAAATGAAGTATAGCATGACTGAAGGGGAAGGGTAAAATGGACATTTTATTATACACAGTAGCAAAAATGGGACAAGAGTTAAATCTAGAGTGATGGTCTTCATATCAATTCTCCAATTTAGAGGCACTCAACCTAAACGTCCTCTTCTCAGTCCTGGAGAAATGGATTCTCATGTAGGAGAAAGCTGTGGTCCAGTTCATGAGGGTGATGCCTAATGAATGTCACTTAGTCTCAGTGGAGGGCCAAACCCATTTGGGAAGTGTCTCCCAAGGGTAGGAAGGCCATGCTAGATAGGCCCATCAGAAAAATCAGGAATCTCTCAGGCCCACAAGGCAATAAAGGCCATGAAGGCAAAACCAGCGGCTACGCAGCCCCATTTGGCCAGAGGGGCCTCAGGGCCAGCTAGCTCCCGGGGAAGAATTTCCAAGAAGGTGACATACAGAAAGGTGCCGGCTGCCACACCTTCTAACACAGCCTGGGCTAAGCCCTGCCCCACTTTAGAGTCCCCTTGGGTCACAGCCAGCCCCAGGACTAGGCCCATGGGGGACATGAGAGCTAATGACAGTATGGACAACATGGCCCATCGTGACCTAGTGCCTATTCGCACCAGCCGCAGTCCAACCCCAAACACTACGAGCCCTTTGTGAGCCAGGACAGCAAGACAGAGCTGAATGGTGGTTGCTACTGTTGGCTGCAGCCCCACGGCTAGCCCTTCAAACACTGAGTGAAAGGAGAGCGAGAGCAAGAGGACGAGGGCCCGAAAGGGGCCCTTTGAGGGTGAGGGTGGGGGTCCATGGCTGTGGAGTTCAAGGACATGAGTCCCACCCCACTCCTCCTGCACTGTCGTTCCTCCAGCAGCCCCAGGACAGCACTGCAGTGCCAGCGACTCCAGAAAGAAGACAAAGAAGAAGCCCAGGGAGATGATGAGCTCTCCGTAGGGATACTCCATCTAGGAACAGAAAGAGGGTCTGTGAGGTAGGAAGGGAAGAGAAGCAAGGACGCTGGGTGTCCATGGGAGTGGGAGACTAAAGAGAATGGGAAATGTGGGACTATGCCTAGTTAGTAAGAATTGGCCAACTCTTTGCCCTGCTGGCTCTCCCTCTGGTCTGTGGCCTTATTCCCATCGCTTCAGATGCTTCCAGATTGATGCAGCATATTGGGCATAAAGAAGGGCAGGGGAATAAAGCCAAGAGCAGGTATGGACAGCAACGAGAAGAATCCCTGAGGGACTAAGGGACACCAGAGTAATAGGGTTAGTAATATGGGAAAAGAATGTGAGGCATGTCAAAGGGATGGAGAAAGAACAAAAAAGTAAAGCAGAGCTTTTTCTGGGGTTCTACAAACCCAAATGGATTGGGTGGGCTCCTCCTTTCCTCTGTGCTATCTGAGCTGAGGAGCAGAGGGGATCCCTGGTTTCCTCACATACTCCCCTCAAAAGGGTCCGGGAGGTTCTCCTCCCCCACTAGGGAGGGACTGGTGGGAGATACTTACCTGAGCTGAATCAGCATCATCAGAAGCATTTCCCTCCCTTTCTGTCCTGTTCTAGAGAAAGAAAAGCAGAAATCAGGTGGGGAGCAGCTCAGCTTCCTGTCCTGCCCCTTCAGCTCCCTCACTTTCCCTAAAGTCCAATGTGACTGGTGTTCACCATGCCAGAAAGAGTCCTCTTGCTTGTCCTTACACCCTTGTCCTCAGCTCTGTCATCTTCCCCCCTCATCATTCTGACCTCACAGCCCTGCTGCTTACCATTTCTGCTGCTCACCTGCATCTTAAACTTCTGAATCTCTGAGTCAATTCCCTCCAGGGCTTCAGCAGTCATGTGCATGAGCCCTGCTCCCAGGAAAACACCAGCAGAGGTGCAGCCCAAGAGGCTGAGGACCCGGCGGTGACGACCTAAGAAAACGAGGAGTTACAATCCAGTTGGCGATGAGATAGAAAATGTGACAAAAGAGCAAGCATGTGGCACCCAATCTCCCCAGCTTGGGGATGGTGAGAGCCTCGGAGCAAGGCATCAGGATAGGTGACATGGCCATAGTCAGGCTGAGGTTATGGGGCCGGCAGCAGCAGGGCTGTACCTGTGGCAGCATCAATCTGGAACCACTTGAAGCAGATGGGAATAAGGCCACAGACCAGGGTGAGAATCAGCAGGGTAAAGAAGCAGCCAATTTTCACTCCTAGCTGTGGTTCCATCCTTGGGGTACAGGATAAGCAGATGCTTCAGAATAGCAAATGGGAGTTACGATCTTCGAGCAGGAGTGTGGAAGTAGGCGATCAAAGCTGGAGTATCTCCTCTCCCGAGCTCCAGGAAGGCGATGGGATCCTCCTGTTCTGTGTTGCCTCTGCTTGCGCAGCCTTGCATAGCTGACTGGGGCCCTGCCTCAGATTCCCGCCCTCCCCCTACCAGGAGGCCCCTCCCCTGGCTCACGCCTTCCAGAACTGGGAAACCAGAAACTCCAGACTCCCTGCCAGGCACAGCCTGTGCTGTGTGTCTTCTCCTCTTCACTGCCATGACTAATCCAAATGCTGTGGACAGTCTTCTTTCATGCCTGGTGCTGGTCTAATCCAAAATGGGAGTCTATGGAGGTCCTTCCCAGCTGTTTTGTACTGGGGACACCTGGTCCTGCCTTATTTAAGACATTTGATCTAAGACTCCCAAACCTTCTCCACCCCACCCTATGTCTTGTAGGTTGTTATGCTGATATCTGAACCCTACCTTTTCAGAGGGGATTTGGGGCCACCTTCGGGTAGGAGGTGGGGCTGAGAGGTGGTACCGCCACCCGCCACTCTGTGAAAACTAGTAGATGAGGGGCCTCCCCTCTCCTGTAACCTCAGAGAAATAGCTCCAGGCATGGCAATTTCTAGTGGGGAGTTGAGATTTCTAGTATTACAATATTGATGTTGTTCCAACTTTTGACTGTGCCCGTTTCTGGATACATACATATCTACCACAACTTATGATGGGGTGATGTTCCAATGGGCCCAGCCTAAATTGGAAACCTCCTAGGTTGAAATGCATTTAGTATACATAAGGTACCAATCCTAGCTTCGACTAACTTTAAATGTGCTCAGAACACTTACATTAGCCCACAGTTGGGCAAAATAATTTAATCAAAGTCTTATTTTGTAATAAAGTGCTGATATCTCATGTAATTTACCACATACTGTCCTGGAAGTGAAAACCAGAATGGTTAGAAGTACGCCAGCCGTTTACCCTTGTGATGGAGCGATTGCCTGGGCGCTGCGGCTGCCCAGCATCACAAGGGACTATCATACCACATACTGCTGACCTGAGAGAAGAGCCAAATTCAAAATTCAAAGTCTGGCTTCTACTGAATGTGCCTCACTTTCACATCATCTTAAAGTTGAAAATTTGAAAATCAAGCCACGGTAAGTCAGAACCATGTGTACTAGGGGAGAGGGCCTGAGAATTTTAAGACAAAGAAAGGTTCTCTAGCTCTGAAATAGCAAGGCCTAGCAAAAATCTGAGAAATGAACAAATGGAAGGATCCTGCCTGGAGCTACAGGGGTAGAGATGGAAAATTCAGTCTTGATGGGATCGGCTCTTGAGGTAAATGTATCAGGCAAACTCTGGAGGAGTTGATGAACCCTGAGAAAGACAGAAGGAAGGGAGGGAGAAAAACACAGAGGCTAGGCAGCCCGGCTCCTCTATTTAGGTAGCCACCAAACAACTGTGACACATGCCAAGACAGCGCTCAGAGACTGGGGGTGGCTTTCCCTACTGCTCCGGATTATTTCCTTGGGAAGTCCTGGTCTCTGGTAGAAGCAGTATCTCAAAAGCTTGCAACCTGTGTGGGAAGATAAGGCACTGAATATCTGAGAATTCTCTCTGCTATAGGACTGAACATGACAACTGACCTCTGTAATCTTTTAGGAATCACAAGATCCATTTTTACTCTTTGAAAACTTTTTATTATTATTAAAGCCTCAAACCAACATACATAGGGCTGCCAGCACTCCCACCCTTGAAACCAGGGAGCTTCAGCCTTGGCAGGCCTAAGTAAGAAAATCCTTGTTACACCTCCTTGTCAACTCCCAGGGGGGTTGTCAGCAGGGGACAGAGGAAGCTCCGACTCTGAAGGCGTGATCACAGGTAAAAGATCTCCCCAGGAGCTGACTCGAGCACAACGATACAAATCCCTATGGAAAAGAGGTGTCAATGTGGGCTGTAGGTTCTTGCCACCTCCCCCTAATTTTGGTCACACTCTTTATACCTGCCATGCTGGCGGGCTGTGATCACAGCATGCTGCATATGTCCATCTGGACAGCACAGGTGACAATGCACATGGCGTGGCCGTTTAAGGACAGGCTGAATGATACGGGGCCAGCGATTAGCCTCCTCTGGAGACCCCCGGGCAAGAATTACCATTGAGAACTTTTCATCTTTTTGCTTCTTCTTGTTCTAAGATAAGGATATAGAGAGACTATTTGGAGAAAAAAGAGATGGTGAAAAAAATTGTGATCCCCCCTCCCCCCATCCCTGCAGAACTTTTCAGATTCTATAATCCATGTACATCCAGGCCTGCAAACCTCCAGGCTCTTCTCTGACTTCTCTAACTCCTCCCACCTCTGACTCCTTATCATCCTGTTCCTCTAGACTACTTTCTCCCTGCCCTAACATTCCCAGGAAACATACCCAGCTGAAGGGGATGCAGTGGTAAGCTTGAGAAAAGCTACAGGCCAGGGGCTTAGAGGCTGTCAACTGGGGACAGGGAAGTTCATGTGGACACTGTGAACACACAGACAAAAAAACCCAGAGAATCATACAACTGAAAAACAAAGAGTGACAGAGTTAAGAAGGGCTAGGGCAATGGGAACATAGGAGCTGGAGGCAGGGAGAGCCACGGCAACAACTAAGAAAGATACTGAATAGGGACACAAAATAGTAGAGGGTGGCTTAGCTTTACCCTCTCACTTTTCCTGGCCACAGCTGAGTTTACATCTTTGCAGGCTGGGAGAGGCAGAAGTAATACTCACTGGGGCAAAGACAAAGCCAGGTCGAGGGTCCAAAGGTGACTTCTCTTTTCCCTAAAATAAAAAAAAAAAAAATTAAGCTGGGTCTGAGGGGTCTAGTCTCATAACTCAATCTCTGTACTCAGTAAACTGAGGACTCCTTTAACATTCAATTCTGATAATTATTAACTAGGCTCCTTGAGTTAAGCTGGCTGCTTCACTAATACTCCAAACAAAGAACCTTCTCTTTGTAGTAGAGAAAAGCAGGAACTTGGCACATAGTATGGTGCTTTCCCTTGTCAGCAACCTCTACTCTCAAAAAGATCCCACTCCAGGACAATTAAATTTATGATTATACACTGGCTCATACTGTCCCCAAAAGATAAGGTTCTTGGCTTAGCAATGCCCTGGATCAGGGGTTGGAGCACTTACTCTTTTTTAAAGGCCTAGAGAGTAGGCAAAATCTGTTTCTGTCCCAACCATTCAACTTTGCTGTTTATAGTATGAAAGCAGCCTTAGACAGGACACCTGGGTGGCTCAGTTGATTGAGCATCTGCCTTCAGCTCAGGTCATGATCCCAGGGTTCTGGGATTGAGTTCCACACCATGCTCCTTGCTCAGCAGGGAGCTTGCTTCTCCCTCTTCCTGCAGCTCCCTCTGCCTGCAGCTCCCCCTGCTTGTGTTCTCTCTCTGACAAACAAAAATCTTAAAAAAAAGAAAAAAAAAAAAAAAGAAAAAAAAAAAGGGGCAGCCAGAGACAAGAGACATACCAATAAGCATGGCACATATGAAAATAGGTGGCAGGCCAGATTTGATCCACAGGTCCTGGTTTGCTAATCACTACCCAATATCATAACAACTTTATATGCCTAATATCCTGAGAGTCACCCTTACCATTGTATGACAGAGTCTCTTCAGTCTTAAGAGAGCAGCAGTGACCACTGACAGATGGTGGGACAGGAGTGAAAGAAGGAGAAAGACTCTTACCTTAAGGACGAGGTCCCTGGCATCCATGAGAAGGCAGTGACCAGCTTTTGTTCCATTCTCTACCAATACCTGTTCACAAAAAAGGAAAATAAGCATAAGCTTTGAATTACATGAAAACATAAATGCTAGAAGCTCTGTAAGAACATTAACAGATGCAGCAGAGGGCCCTAAAGAAAAGGGCCATCTCCACATAAGATGGGAATGGAGAGCCTAAAAGAGGGACAAAGGGATCTATGCATGATAAAAATGGTCAAGAATGAACACAAGTTTTGGAATGCCTAGGTGGCTCAGTCGGGTAAGTGTCTGCCTTCAGGTCAGGTCATGATCCCAGGGTCCTGGGATGGAGCCCCACCTCCCGCTCTTTGCTCAGTGGGAAGCCTGCTTCTCCCTCTGCTTGCCTATCACCCTGCTTGTGTTCTCTCTCTTTGACAAATAAACATATAAAATATTTAAAAACAAAACAAAAAAACACACTTAAAAAAAAGAATAAATGCAAGTTTCGATGGAGAGAAGGAAATGCATGAAACCCATGACACTGCTTTAAAACTTGAAGGGAAAAAGGAATTTCAGCTCACCAGAAAATGATTTGTCTTGCGCCATAGGGTTTGGACTAGTTCAGTGCGGTCAGCCTTGCTGGGAAGCTCACTTAAGGAGAAGGCTGATACCACCACATCGAATTGTACCTGAGAATCAAGAAAAGGAACGTGAGAGACCTGACATCCCCACTCCCGACCCTCCTTCCAAGAACCTAACAAAGTTCTATCCCCTTATATTTCTTTTGTTTTATCTTCTAACACTCAAGGCTGGGTTGCAAAGCTGAAGCCACGGTTTTCCATCTGCCAAATTCCACATTTAACACTCTAAACATTGGCACTTGCCTTGGGTGATACAGGTAGAAACTGTCTGAAGAAGACACCTGGAACATAAGGCTCCCCAGATTCTGAACCACCTGTGGAGTAAAGCAGAGGCGCAGCAACTTTGAGTGTACAGGTATAAACTGAAGTGATCTCTCAATAAGAAATAGGGTCCCAAGGCTAAAAAAAACCACCAGGCATCCGGGTGGCTCAGGTGCTTAAGCGCCCATCTTTGACTCAGGTCATGATCCCAGGGTCCGGGGATTGAGCGCTCTGCCCTGCAACAGGCTCTGTGGTAGGACTCCCTGCTTGGTGGGGAGTCAGTTTCTCCCTCTGCCCCTACTCTGGCTCATATTCTCTCTCTCTCTCTCAAATAAATAAAATCTTAAAAACAAAAACAAAAAGAAAGGGCAGGGAAACACTGGGTTGCCTGTCCTGTTTATCTTACCCAATCCCCCCACAGTCCAGCAAAGGCCTCTACAACCCTCTGCTTGACCACAACACTGGAAAGAAATCAGACTCATCTTTAACTTTCAGCCTTCCTCTACTCCCCAATAAAACAACTTTTTCATTCTCTGCTTAACTCCTTCAACTTTGAAGAAACCCTTCCTTATCTTTTGTCCTCACCTTTCAGTAACTTTTCTGCCAAAACCAACATAGCAGCTGAGCTGTCCACACACAAATATTCACGTAGGCTCTGGCCCCAAGCACTATGAGCAGCCCTAAGATGGCAAAATATAAATCACCATTTCTCACAACAAAGAGTCATCCCTACAAGAGATCCCTCTGCCCCCAACCCCAACCCTGGGAAACAGAATATTATCTTAAAATGGTTGGAAAAACCAACAGTGTTATTTTCTTACTTCATTTACTACTCCTTAAAAAAGGGCAGACTCAAAAAAACTACTTGTAGGTAAAAAAAAATCTTGGTGCTATGCCCTAGACTAAATTCCTTTCCTTTTTTATCTTTCTAAACATGGGTCTTTTTTCACTTGAAGTTTCTTTAAGTTCTGGCCCTAATCCATATACTTTCTTATGCCTTACCTAATCTGAGCGAAGAAACATTCTAGTTCCTAAATTTCCTATTCTCCCTCTGGTTCCCTAGTCTCTTGGAATGTTATACACATGGCCCTGTAGAGCTAGAATTGACAGAGACAGTAAGATACTTACCAAGTGACAGAACCAGTACCCGAGCCAAAATCCATTAAGGTTTGAGGCTGGAACTCTGGAACTCTAGCCTGGATCTGAAGAAATATATAACACTCCACAGTAGGGGAAGCAGACCCTTATTTAGGGCCACTATGAATTAGGGGACCATGACAGAGCAGATGAGATGCGAATGTTTTTTGAGATATAAGGTAAATACTTTATAGACTGGGAACTTCCTAGAACAATGATTTTAAACATCCCTTGGGTCA